TTTAAATTAAAATGTTTACAAGAGTAAAATGCCCAGAGTTTTACTCAACTAAAGGCTGACTAAAAACTAAAAAGAATGACATTGATTTAATATGACTAAAACTAACAGGACAAAGACCAAGATTAAATCCAAAAGCACAACACTCCCATACGGGCTACTCTGCCACCTAACATCCAGTTCATCATAATGTTCATGGCGTGAGAAGACACCTCCACACAGTTGTAAATCAGGACAGACAGCAACGAGCCAATTAGAGAGACATCATTGTTCATAACCTACAATACATGTTAAGTGTTGCTTATGCTTGTCAGGATGATGAGACTGCATGTCAGAAACAAGTGGCTCAGATATTCCCAGCCATTCTCTGAACATCCATTTTCCTACAGGGGGAAATTTGTTGATCACATTTCAAATTTACAAATAAAATAATCTTTACATGGAGGAGTGTGGTAACACTTTAATGGCATGACTAATACTCCTAGCTGCTATGTTGGTTGTACGGATTAACAGACAGCTTTTCACATGAGAAAGTTCTGCACACACTTCATTTTGATAATTACTTAACAGAAAACTGTGAAGAATTTTATTTTGAAATTTGTGTGGATTCAAAAGCAGCTGTGTGATCCACTAAAGGATACAAAAGCATTGCTCTCTCGAGTGAAAAATTAAGATTAAAGAAAATTGCAGTGCTTTCTAAGTAGTACAGAAAGCACTTCACTCCTTCTGGAGTCAAACCAACCTATCCCCAAGCACATCACAATTAACCTCAAGTATAACCAGGTCAAAACAAAGTCACTTCAGTTATTTTCAGTCATTTCTACAACTCTGATGATGCCACTGCCCCCAACTCTTCCCAAAAACTCTTTCTTTGATTAGTTCAGTCAAGAACCAGATTAATGTTTTTATAAAGCCTCAGGCGAACAAACAGCAAAGTGAAAAAAAGAAATGTACAAAAAGCAAAATGTACCAATCACTACTACAGCCCAGTATGATGTTCCTTCCAAGGATGTGTATGATCAAGAAGACACTGGGAAACAGATTTTGTTTATCAGTGGATGGCCACAGCCTTGAATTCTCTGTTGTACACAGTCCCCCACAGTGTTTGCCTCAGTATTGAAAGTTTATCTGTCCTGTGTTAATATCCAAGGTAGTTTAATTCAGTATCATACACATGAGACAGCAAATGCGTGTCGAAGAAATATGCTGGTCAAAATAATTTCTTAAAAGCAGCTCAGAAATTCTCACCAGCTGTCACATTTTGCTACTGTTTGGGTGACATCTTTGAATTTCACCAAGCCTGTTCAGGTCACTGTTTGCATGCTTACATCAACCCCAAGCCCTCCAAGCATCTGCCAGAACCATTTCCTGAATATCTAGACCCTTTTACAAGCAGCACCCCCTGCCCTGTGACTTTATATATTAGTTCTTCTGTCATAATTTAAATCACAGTGTAATGTAATGGCCTGCTGTGTTTACAAGACTACCCACTGCTATGAACTTGGTGCAATGAGCATTGGCCGTCCCCACAACTGGACCCATGAGAGGTACACATTTAATGCTACTTAGACCATTTCCTTAGTATAGTGTGGAATAAACAGTAATGAATATGCAGGAGCTGCTGATGATGATACAACAAGTGTTGAATTAACATGACCACATCTAGTGAGATTCACAGGAAACATTAGCTAAATGAACTAACAAGCCTCCAGCTATCTAGGTAGCTTGCCATCTTCCGATTTCGAAATGAAACAGAAACTTAAATGCACTATAGGTCCTCACCAAATGGCAACCTCCAGGGTTGAGAAATGAAGCCAGTGCAGAACTGTTAAAACCTGCAGTTGTTCCAGATGCCATTTGAGGCTGGCTCCAAAAGGGAGTCAGTGCCCATAGTGACCATGTTAAAATGTCCAACTTTACAGCAGAAATAAACATGTTTACAGCCCGGTACAAAAAAAGGTTTTGGTCTCTATAGCTACTTTCTACAATAAATGTAAGGGGAGTGAATTTTTGTACAACTCATCATTTAAACCATACTGAAACTAAAAGTTATGCATAATTAAGGGCCCCACTACAGGTGTCTAACTGCTAGCTGTCTTGCAAGCTCCATTCACACTCCACCTCCCTGCCCATTTTTGGATCAGACATAGTAGACGGGGTGAGGCACTACCAAGATGGCAGCAGCCAGACTTGAGTTTCAAAACCACTCTTCAAACAACAGTGGGTGATGTCACAGAACGTTTGTCCATCTAGTATGTGCAGTCAGTGGTCTTCTCATATACTGATTCTTACAAAAGGGACAGATTTCTAATGGTACATAACTGGTAACAGGGCTACATGATTAATTGTATTGTGAGCATGATTTAGAGCCCTGTGAGATCTCAGTCTGACATGACAATTCTGCCATGTTTGCATTAGCACAGAGATGCCTTGCATCAAACCAAGCGCTCCCTTTTCATCTCTAAGCTGCGTTAACCAATACCTACAACTCATAACCACAAAGTGATTTATTTCCGACTCAATTGCTATTTGGCACTAGGTGTACAGTGCAGGCAGCACAACATTTTGAGAAATAGTTGCAGGGCGGCAGAGAATATCTTTCACAATGTCAAACATGTTGGATTCGTTTTTTAATCAGTCTTCTCTTCCTATCTACAGCTCATCACGTGATGTAACGCATTTCTGCTATTGGTTAACTGAGCTTAGCGAGGAAAAGGGAGGACTTGATTTGATGCAAGGCATCTCCGTGCTAATGCGAACACAGCAGGATTATTGTAATGTGAGACCGAGATCGCATATTCACGATACAATTAGTCATGCAGCCTGAACTGGTACTATGTGGGTTTGTTAAAAAGGGGGAAAATGGTCAGTGCATCAGTGTTCAAATGCTACACACCATGGAAGATGCTGATGTTTCTTTGGCTGGAGACATTTTCTATAACATAGTTCATCATATTAAGTACCCTCTGGACAATAAATATGATACCTTGCTATTACAGTGTTTTCCACTTGGTCTCATCTCCCCACTGGATAGGACATTAGTGTTTAGATATCTATTTTTGGGAAGTGAAAAATATATATCATAGCTATATCATCAGTTAAGAATGGAAGGATGATTGCTTCAGTTTTCCTGCGGCATTGTGAACACATACAGTGAGAAATGAGAAAACCTAAACTGATTAATGAATTCATTTATACATTATCTCTTTATATGTCTGTGCAATGGGTGCTGAATGTCACCTAAGCATTATCAGATGATGTGGCAGTGTTGTGCCTGGTCTCTGTCAGTGTGGCTGCAGTTCTGTCACTAAAAGGTCTGACAGTGGACTTTCACTGGCTTCTCTCCTGAATCCTGTTTTGCTGTCGTGGCACAATGTGACTATCTGTGTCTTTACAGCTGTCCAAATTAATTCTCAATTCTCACACGGTGCTTAAAGCACAGAACTTTTCTGCTTGGTTCATCCAGAATGCACACAGATAGAAAACCATAGCAAGATCCTCAAATATACTGTACATCTATGGTTGAGGTCGCACACTATGGACTTTAATAATTTAATGCTGTAGACCTCTCTAAATATTCGCCACACCATTTTCCACTTTAAGGTATGAGTTTAGGCTTGAAGGCTTGGCTTCTGTGTAAATGTATTCAAATTGAAACAACCATTTATCATTTTACAACTCTTCAACTTCCCTTTTATAGGCTTGCAGAATTCATTTTATTTCACCCTGCATCCCTTCCATCTTCTAAAGCTGAGCTCAGGTGTTGGCATGTTACTCATACAATGTCCTGTATTAGTCTCAAATTGAAAAACATTGTGTAGATTTGTCAAACATTCTAAACTGCATTCATGTCCAAACATTTTTCAAATGCATGCAGATGAAATAAAAGAGAAAGAGCGAGTAAAAGAAATAAGTTCTAAGAATAAGGACAAGGGTCAAATGACTGTGATACAAAGTTCTGAAATAGCATAAAGGTCAAAGAAAATGAGTTTTATAACATACACTGGTCTGCTTCTTTAGGCCTTTGCATAAAGATGTTCCTAAGTCACAGAGCTCAAACTGAAGAAAAAAAAAATAACTAGAAATTGCAAAGCTCACCATGGGAAGGTCGAGTATTTGTTTGCCCAAATCCCAGTGCTTCACATTATGTTTGATGAACATCCCATGTACTTCACAGTAAATTAATATTGCTTTTCAAGATTATATGCTTTTAAAACTCCTCAAATTAGTTGCGGATTGTCAGCATGGCATGCATACCATCCACATCCCAGTGCATTAACATTAGTTGGTTTAAACTGTACACATAAATGTTTCTGGTGCTCATAAGCAAAAGAGACATTTAACTGCTGGCATTCATTTTTTCCTACTCCAGTACTTTGAATGCACAGAGGGAGGGAATGAGGCTTCTGCCACTTTGGATTATTAACAAACACAGCATTAACTTTTATATTACTGTTTTGCCCAAATATCTTGTTTAATAAGGGAAAAGTAACCCTTGATTCTGTGTTATCCAAAACCTAGTATTTGTCACAATTATTCAACCAAATGCGTACATATATGAGGACATTAAAACTTAAAAATGGCCTTTTATGGCACATATTGTAGTCCAGGTAACAATGTGTAATTAATTGGCAACTAATTGCACATTGTTACCTGCACAGCATGTATCATAAATGGACATCAACATAGCAGTGGGGAAGAGATGCTTGTTTTATGCAAAAATGGTAGGCTATATGCATTCATTATTGGAACTCAACAACACAATGACAGTCATTGCCAAAAACCAGTGAAAAGTGCAAGGGAAATGCTCAAACAACAGGTGTCTGGCAGCTGCTGTCGTGTTGCAAGCAGGAACAGTGATGAGCGTTTTGCCTTTATGTTCAATGTTCCCGTTTTGCTACTTACATAAAGTGCTTGGGCCCAGCTCGTTTCAGAAAACGCCTCTCCTCTGTCTTCATCATGCATGGAAGGCGCTGTGATTACTGTGTGACGTCCAGCAGCCCCCTGTGAGCTCATCGGCCTGTATCCATTTGGCTGTTGAAAGTTCGTCACTTGTGAGTTTACCTGGCACACTGTCAAGTGTTGGGCTAACGGGGCTACCTGCATTAGCTGTGTGCTTTGCTAACAAATACTTTTTAATGTAGATGTCGGGCCTCCTCTGGTGGTTACTTAGTTCACATCAATAACTTTGACACTGTTGATTGGACCCATGTGATAGGGCTTTCCATTCAAAACACTCTTTTCTGTTCCCTTTGTTTCTTAGTTGCTATCCGATTTAATGCTAACGTCAGAGGATTGCTAAACTACAGGTGCTGCAAAGGGCCATATCCCGACACACTCCATGTTCAGGGCGTGAAAAAACGAATATGTATTTATGGGTTTCACTCAATAATAAGAACCTACAGTAGTTACACTGTATAATCTACGGTGGTATAAAATATACAGGCCGTTTTGTGCATCGAGAAGCCTACTTTTATTTACTTAAGTTACATTTTCAATGCACAACATACTTGTAGCCTATTTGTACATTGTAAATTCTTGTACTTAAGTGAAGAATCTGAATACTTCTTCCATCACCGTGTTTTTTAAAAGTACATTACATTATAATGGGCTACGTTATGCTGCAGTGTTCGTCACAAATGTATTGTAGGCCTACTAACCACTTGTGCACAAATACATATGCTAAAACCAAGATGTATGCAAGGTTTGCATGTGATGACTTAGGAAAGCATGGCAATGTAAATATATAAAGTTGTGACAAGGTTGGCAGCACGGTGGCACAGTGGTTAGCGCCGTTGCCTCACAGCGAGAAGGTTCCAGGTTCGGGCCCCACCTGGGACCCTTCTGTGTGGGTACTCCGGCTTCCTCCCACAGTCCAAAGACATGCAGCTTAGGTTGATTGGTGTCTCTAAATTGCCCATAGGAGTGCGTGCGTGTGTGTTTGTGTATGTGTTAGCCCTGCGATGGATTGGCGACCTGTCCAGGGTGTACCCCGCCTTCGCCCGATTGCCGGCCGGGATTGGCTCCGCCGTGACCCCGCTCAGGGAACAAACGGTAGAAAATGAATGCATGACAAGGTTGATCTTTTATATCTTTATTCTTTTATTCCTTGTCTCTATCATTCCTCCTTTAAGTTTGGATATCCTATTCTGAGTGAAATAATCATCTGTTGATGTCTAGTCCATTTCTGATTCATTCTGGTATAAAGAGGTGGAAAAAAACGAGAGCTCACCAACAGTAATACTGTACTTCTGAGCAGGAGCAGATCAATGAGTTTGGCAGTGCACAAATCATACAGCTACACAGGCGTACAAAAAGCTGACAAAGGCCAGGACAAAGTGTGTGCTGGCCTGTGCTAACACAAATACCAATTTAACTACTCTGTCAGATTCAGCCGTGCTGGGGTAGCACCAGGGGGATGTGCGTTTTTGCTTAATGTTTTCCCTCAATGGAACAGAAACATAGTTTGTTTCGTCCTGTCATGGCCTGTTGGGGCTTTGCTCAATGGTGAACTGCCCTAAGACATACTGATAATCACACTCTGATGGTAATGTAATAAACCACCTTTGTCACAGCACTCAGGCATAGGAGAGGAGAATGGATTAGTCTGGGTATTATTTCCCCTTTCTTGCCATATTTCACTGCTGCTCTGTAAAATACAGTATCAGGCAAGCTCATTGCATATTCTGCAAAGCACATAAGGTGTTGTATTAAAAATTTGGAGGTAAATCCAGAGTTATGAATGAGCAAGAGCAGCATTTGGAGGCCCAGTGCAGCAAAACAACTTAATGTCAGCCACTAATCTAGTTGCAGGTGTTCAGATGAGCAGAGCTCAATTAAACCAAATTGGCTTTCACACAGTTATTCAAATTAGTTTAGAATCAAACACTCACAAACTAAATATGCTTACCTGGGCAGAATTGCCCCCTTCCCTCCAACTCCCTCCCTGCTCTGGTACCAAGACACTGTCAAGATGGGAGGAACTGAAATAAAAATGAATTTACATTTAAATCAAGCTGGAAGCTGAACAAAAATGTGATAAGGGTCTGTGCGTTTCCCACCACCTTAATCAACATTTTGATGGGATGACACACACTCCATGAGAAGTTGTCTGGCTAGTACCTCAAGAGAGGATCGGGGTAATAAGTTATTAATGTACTATCCATGCTGCAGTTAAGCATCAATTAAAACCACAGGTTGTGTGTCTGACATGTTATCAGACAACATTTTAAACCTCTCCCTGGCTTCTAGTTCACTTTTGAGTCCTATAAAGTACATGCCATTTTCTGAATATAGTGCAGAAGACTAAAAGGTAGCTGTGTTTAGAACTGAACAAAATCTATTCAAAAAACAAAAAAGTTCATCACTCATTGCTTCTGTACAATTTAGGACTGATAGAAGGGTGGCAAACGTCCATACACAGATAGCTAAAGCTGTATTAGGTTTCATTAAATGACTACGTAGGTGCATAAGTGGTTTTGATTTGAGTATATCAGTCTTTTTGTTCTTGAGTGAAGTTTATGAGATTAGAAGCAAAGTCTTCATTGCCAGTATAATTAGATATTAGATATTAAATTAAATAATCAGTCTTCTCCTGTGGAGACTGCAAAATACTGAGTAAGCCTGTGCATCTCAAGACCCAGCAGCTGCTTTGTAAATCCTAATTGCAAGATTCAGATTTTTCTCTCAAACTCTCAAATTAAGCATGCTGTAGTGGATGAATTAATGGCATTGCTTAAACAGATGTGACACTGGTGTTGGTGTCTAAATTTGAGTGACTGTTAGAAACACCATAGAGCTTCCAGCATTTCCCTCGTTTCATTAGATGTATGCCAAAATATGTAGACCTACAAAAATGTGTTTTATTGTGGTAACATAAATACTTTATCCACTCTGAAAATGTTCTTTTTACAGGATCTGAATGATATGCCTCACTTTGAATCTAGTTGGATGTCAGTTTCTCCACAGTTTTTAACCTCCATTCACATTTTCTTACACTTTATACTTTTTTTTAGCTTGTTTTTGTTTGTTCTTATTGTCTGTATGTATAACTATCTCCCTATCACATGTCCAGTCTAGAGGAGGAGTACTCCAATCATTTCATTTCTATTCTCCCTCTATATCATCTCTATCTTTCTCACTCTCTATCTCTGTCTTCCTTCATATATCAGCAGCCTAGTGGACTGAGAGCAGAGCAGTCAATCAGTCTAGTATCCCCTTCCCATCCAATCTGACTATTTCTGTCCTGATATTATCTTCATCTCTCTCTTGTTCTGCCTATGTGAATGGGTGTGTGTTAGTATCTGCTTGTCTTACCATCTCTCTCTTTGTGTGGCTTTCTGTATCTCTCCAGTCCAGTAGATAGGGATCAGTTAAATCCAGTGGGAAGGGAACAGCATGTTAACAGAGCCTGAAGCATCCGAGGGAATCGTGGCTAGGGATGAAAGGCCAGTTGAGGGTAAGTGAGCCTATTACCATCGGCTAGAGGAAGGAAAGGCCCGTTGACCCACTCAGTCAGAAACTCACACCTGAGGTTGCTGATAAATTCAGGAGGAAATTAAGGCCAATGGCACTGTTAAGGCAAAAGAGAGGTATAGGGTGACATTTACTGAAAGTGAGATGACTGACCTTTCTTTCATAACAACTTGTGTTAAAAAAAAACTTTAACTGGCATGAGTGGAAAGAGAGAATCAGACTACCCAAGCCTTTACGGATTATAGAGTTCTGCACAAGGCAAAACAAATGAAAGTAGAATGTGACTAAATAGACTTGCAAAGGCTTGAAAATGCAAAAGTTGGACAAATATTTTTTTCTGAAATTAGTCATAAAATGTGAAGATACAGGAAAGTGTAATCACATGACATTATAAAAATACTTTTTTCTGAGTTGATGATTAAGTCCCTGTATTTTTAAGATGTGCGATAACTTGCATACAGAAATATGGTGCAATTAAATGGAGCAGTAAAAAAATAAAATAAAATAAAACAACTCTGAAGCACAGCCATGTAAACAACCTCTCATTTATTATTTAACCCAGAGATATGGTTCATCGCACATGAAGAGGTTTGGAGGTAGCACGATATTGAAAGCTGGTAACTTTGCTTTAGATCTTTCGCTAAAAGAGTAGGGTTGTTGTGTATTCCATCTACGATACTGCATCCTCCACTGAGTCTGTCTGGTAGAGTATCCTGTGTTTTATGTTAAAACGTTGGACCTCATGCAATGCCTGCAAGTGAGAAGTTTTTTCATAATACAAACCCATTACTCTTACAGCCAACATAATACCAATAGTTCATCATGTGAATATAGACAGTGTTGCATTTTCTCACAAGTTAATACTAAGCTTTTATTCTCTAACAACAGTACATCTTAAATGCAAAGAGGTGAAAATGTCAAAACCAGCTAAACAAAACAATGGCACCTGATAGAAAGTTCAACATTTAAACACTCTCTAAGACATCTAATTTACCTGTACCTTTTGGCTTATTCAATGTTAATAACACACAAATGGCTTGAATAGCATTTTATCATGTACATTTCCTTCATTTATGTTCAAACTATCATTACTGAGATTGTAGATTCCCTGCAAGCCTATATATCTACCAGTGGCCTTGCAGATTCTTTATCTAAGAAAAAAACTATCCAAAATTTCGGTTTACATACATCTAGCATTTAGTTAAGCTTTTATTTATTTGTTTGTTTGTTTCCATGACATGATGTGTACATACTTTCCAGAAATGATTGGTTTGTCTTTCTGTACCTGATTGGCTGACAATGCCGGTGACATCACACTTCATTGTATGAGTCATATATTTGTGTTCATGTTGTATTTTGTAAGTTAATGATAGATGAGGTTTATTTATTATTGCTTAGACCAAGGAACTGTGTAGAACAAAAACACAAACTAGCTGTTCTGTTATCTTGGTTGTAGTTTGAACATATGGAAATAGTGTGGATGGCACCTTTAAAACTGTTTACTTTTAAGCTGTTTCACCATACATTCCCTGCATTTCTCTTCACAGATCAATGCTTGGTGTGTCATTGCCTTGTTTTTGATGTTTCCACCCACAAAGTCTTAGTTCTACTGGGGACAGTAATCAAGCCACATAATGTACTGTGGTGGACAGATGGGGGTAACACGGTAGTTTTTATTGCAGGGGCAGACTAGCTGTATCTCTGACAATAACATATCTTAAAGCCACCTGACATGATAGATGAGACACTCCGCCCTGTAGGATATTACCATTTTTCTACATTGCCTCCTTTTGCCTAGCTTTCTCTCAGCGTGGTACTTGCATCCTATAAACAGTGAAAGAGTGGAACACTTTTAATGTTTGCTCAATTGAAACTCTTATCTTGACAGCACATTTTTGTTGTCCTCTTTTCCCCCTGCAGAGACCACTGTTTGCCTTGGAACTGGCTTTGCAAAAGAGACACATTCATCATGTAATAAGGTGATGCAAGCTGTTACAACATACCAAAATGAAACTCAGCAATTGTGAATCCTGTATAGTAGTGAGGAAAAACTGGAGCTATTTTGGGATAGTTTCTTTGACTTCACTGCCAATGAACTTCTGTTAGAGAAACAAATGATGAACTCTGCTGGTACCATTTCAGTGTGAGAAAGAGAGAGGGGATGGTATGGAAGCCCGTTTCCGCCAGTACAAAAATTTTTTTTGATCTACTGAGATAAAAAGTCAAAATTTCGACTTAGTAAGTCATAATTATGAGATAAAAAGTCGAAATTTCGACTTACTAAGTCAAAATTATGAAAATAAAAGTCAAAATTTCGACTTACCTAAGTCATAATTATGAGATAAAAAGTCAAAATTTTGATTTACCTAAGTCATAATTATGAAATAAAAAGTCGAAATTTCGACTTAGTAAGTCAAAATTATGAAATAAAAAGTCGAAATTTTGACTTACCTAAGTCATAATTATGAGATAAAAAGTCAAAATTTCGACTTTCGACTTAGAGTGATCTTGTGGACAATTTTTTTTAAGTATGTGTCAGCGTCAGAGCGAGTGACCTTTGAATCCTGCTGTTCAGATTTTGAAAGGTTTTGACCTAGAAGAATTGTTGGAAATCATGGACATTCACAGCTGTCGTAGGATTCCAACAGCTGATAGCATTGAACAAATCTTGAGGGAACTTGCCCACCAAAAACTGATTCAAGAGCCTGCCTTTGTAATTGAACAATGGAGCAGTACACTTGCATCGTCCTGTTGCCTCAGATTTTGCACTGGATCAGACTGATTCACAGGAAAGAGCATCACTGTCAGCTTCACACAAGTGCAGGGATTCAGAGAAGACCCGTTGCTCATACGTGTGGCTGTTACTTGGAATTGCCAGTCAGTTACGATAACTACCCAGATTTTCGACATGAAATGAACAGAGTCCTAGAAAGTAATGTGTGGGTAATGGACATTGCTTAAG